GGCGGCGACAGGTCAGCGACGGGCGACGACGGGCCAGTGGCGGCGGCGAAGGCTGGGCCGCGGGGCTGGGCCGCAGCACGCGGCGAAAATAGGGCCGGGACGGGCGACTTAGGGCCAGCGACGGGCGGCTAAGGGCCGTGACGGGCAGGGAAGGGCCGTGACGGGCCCCAAAGGCAGGGCATCGACGGGCCTCTAAGGCAGGGCCACGACGGGCCTCAAAGGCAGGGGCGCGACGGGCCTCTAAGGCAGGGCCGCGACGGGCGGCACAAAGGCAGGGCGCGCGACGGCGCAGGTGAAACAGGCGCGAGGCGCGCTTCGGGCAGGGCAGGAAAAAAAATCGTGGTGGGCCCTAAAAAAAAACGTTCCCACTAGGGAACCTGCTCAGAATACCATGTTAGAATCAGGAACGGAATGACTGAACTAGCAAGCAGGTGGGTACAAGTAGGAAACCTAAAAGTGTTGTACCCTATATGAACTACCCCACTACAGCCTAAACAGACTATAGCATATATAAGTTTGACATGGTTAGCAGTCGAAGGAGCAAACCCGAGAGCCGCAAGCGTCGTCCTCAGTGTGTCGTGCCACTCGCGAGGCGCCTGGCGGAGACCGTAGACTGGCCGCCGGAGGCTCCACTGGGTACCTGCAGGAAATGACCCAGTGAAGCCGGGTGGGCGGCGCAGCCAGATCTCCTCGTGCAGGCTGCCCTGTAAGAAAGCTATGTTGAAGTCAAGAGAGTGAAGCTCGTAGTCACGCTGAGCGGCGACGTGCAGCAACACCCAAAGAGTGGTCATCTTCGGGGTAGGGGAGAAGGTATGGAAGAAGTCAACTCCTTGTCACTGACTAAAGCCTCGTGCAACGTAACGAGCCTTGAAGACAGGCGGCGAACCCGGGAGCTTCGCTTTGATACCATGTTAGAAACTAAACGAGGTGAATTATTGCATTGAGAAGAAAGTTGGTACAAGTACTAACCCTAACTGGGTTGTACCCCTTATGGGCTACCCCACTACAGCCTACACAATATAAACATTATAAGAGTTTGACAAATTCTTGTATCGTGATTCATGGTTCAGGAGTCAAGACAGTTTCACATGGTTGAAATTGGCTCTCAACGTTAACCGTTTTGCATTGTGATGAAACGGAGCTTTGACGGTTTGGAGATGGACATGTCAACAGTTCCAAGTGTTAGGATATTGAGCAGGAATGAGCGAATTAGGTCAACGGAGGGGTACAAGAAGAATGTTGAGAAGATTTCTGTACCCCCTAGTGCTAACCCCCATACAGCCTACATAAATATAAACATATAAGTTTTGACACACCCCCATAGGCGAAATGGGGGATAACTAGAGCAAGCAATGGTCACAAGTCTAGTCAAGAGAAGCAAACAAAACAAAGCTCAGGGTGGATCACAAAGTCACCACACACTCTGAGCACAAGCAAATGGCCACAAGGCCAGTTCACATGCAGAATTATATAAACAAGAAAAAACAGTACAGTGATCATAACCTAGCAGGGGTAAGCATGTAGGTATATGTATATAGATCGTAGTACAAGCAAGGTCACGCAGTGAGCAAGTGAGGCAAAGTGGGCACAAGGCCTAGAGCAGTGCAGAAACGCTGATGATCACTAAACACAAGTGCCTTGGTGAAAATATCAGCAGTGTTGGCCCGTGAGGCCACATAAGCAAGGCGAAGCTGACCATGTGGCTGCAACTCTTGTGCGAGAAAGTAGCGCAGAGCGATATGCTTCGTTCTGTGCTTCAGTCTCTGGTCCAGACAGAAGGCAATCATGGCCTTGTTGTCGATGTACAGAATTGGAGGAGAACGAGGCCGCTCGCCCAAGTCGGTAAGCAGGTAGGTCAGCCAGCGTAACTCCTGTGCAGCCATGGCCCCTGTGTAGATCTCAGCCTCACAACTAGAGTTGAGAACAGAAGACGACCAGGTAGACCTCCAAGAAACTGAACTGGAGCCAAGGCTGAAGGTGTAACCCTATGAAGACCGCTGAGTCGCCTGGTCGTCTGCCCAAGAAGCGTCTGAGTGTCCTATGAGTACAACTGGGCCCCGTCCTCCAAGCATGAGCCCCATGCCCGATGTACTGCACAAGTAACGCAGCACCCTCCTAGCAGCCCGCAAGTGCTCTGGTCGGTGTCTCCTGGGCGCAACGTAGCGTGCCAGGATGCTGAGAGTGTATGCGAGGCCAGGTCGAGTGCAGGTCATCAGGTACATGAGGCAGCCCACAAGCTCTAGATAGTGACCAATCGGCTCTACGGGCTCGTCCGACAGTGGAGCTAAGAGCGAATGGCCTGTAGGCAGAGGAGTGGACTGTGGCGAGGAGAACTGGAAGCCGAAGCGCTGAAGGACGTGGTGCACCATGTGTGACTGAGTCAGAGTGATGGTGCGCCGTGCTCTGTCTCGGGTGATCTGCAAGCCAAGTTAGCTGCGCAGCTCACCCAAGTCAGTGCAGGTGTGTCTCTTCTGCAGCTCTGAATTTACAAGGTCTAGTGCCTCAGTGTCAGCAGTAGCAAAGACCAAGTCGTCGACGTACACGAGAACGTATAGATGCGGCAGAGAAGTGTCGGTGCGTGGAAACAGCGACGAGTCTGCAGTAGAAGGAGCAAACCCAAGAGCCGCAAGGAGGGTATGTCCTTCAGCCGTAGAAGTTACGCTGTCGTCCTTAGTATGTCGTGCCACTCGCGAGGCGCCTAGCGGAGACCGTAGACTGGCCGCTGGAGGCTCCACTGGGTACGCTCAGGAAAGGACCTAGTGAAGCCAGGTGGGCGGCGCAGCCATATCTCCTTGTGTAGGCTGCCTTCCACCAGGCACTGTATGGAAGCTGAATCGACCAGTCTATGGCCTCAAGCAAGCACCCCGGGAATGGCACAACAAGCTCAAGAGCACCTTAGGGTCCCTCGACTTTCACCCATCCACCTCTGACCCCAGCCTCTTCATCCGAGCAACACCATCCCGCTTCTTCATCTTGGTTTATGTCGATGACATGATCCTTGTCACCAAGGATCAGACTGAGCTGGCAGCAGTCAAAACCGCACTTGGTGAGAAGCTGGCTATGAAGGATCTTGGGAAACTGACGAACTATCTGGGCATGGAAATCACACGTGATCGCACGGCCCGCACCATCACCCTCTCGTAGAAGTTCTACATCAACAACGTTCTGACCAGGTTTAAGATGCAGGAAGCAGCTTCAATGCCCACCCCACTCTCTCTGCAGCACCAACTCACTGCACCCTCTGTTCCCTCACCTGAGCCCTGTGATGAGGCTTACCCCGAGCTCGTCGGTTCCCTCATGTACGCGATGATGTGCACTCGACCAGATTTGGCCTATCCAGTCAGTGTCCTGTCTCGCTACGTTGCACCTGGTCGCTTCACGAGCCACCACTGGTCTGCCGCCAAGCGGGTCCTCCGCTATCTCAAAGGCACACAGGACTATGTGCTCACTCTTGGCGGCTCTTCCCCTGTTCGCCTTGAGGGGTACAGTGACTCGTCCTATGCTGATGACCAGAGTGATCGGCGCTCTTCCCAAGGATATTGCTTTACCCTTGGCAGTGGGGTTGTCAGTTGGCGCTCCACTCGGTCGTCTTCCGTCTCACTGTCGACCTGTGAGGCAGAGCTGTATGCCGGGACCATGGCTGCCCAAGAGGCCCGTTGGCTCTCCTTCTTGCTGGCAGAACTTGGGTATCCTCAACCAGCCCCAACGCTTTGGTGTGACAACGAGAGCACCATTCATCTCACAAAGGACCCCGTCTTCCACGGCCGCACCAAGCACATTGAGGTCCGTCACTACTTTCTTCGTGAGCTGGTGCAGCGCGAGCAGCTGAAGGCTGAACACATTGCCTCCGACTGCAACCTTGCTGACTTGTTTACCAAGTCTCTTGTTCGCCAAGACCACTACCGCCTCCTCTCGTCCATGGGTGTTGGGCCGCCATGTGGTTGAAGTGTTGTCAGCCTAGGGGGTGTGTTAGAAATAGTCAGTCAACACTTTGTACTATATTCTATATCGGTTAGGTTACTTTGTAGGTTGGGTGTAGATTTGTAATCCCAACCCTATCTGGTTGGGATTCCCTCGTAATCTTGCAAATCTGCCAACTCACCAATTGGAGATTTGCTAGGATTCCCATCCCATCCTTTCCCTAGCTTTGCTCAACCCAACCCTGATTGTACTTAAGGCCTAGTGCCTTCCTTATCAAGCAATCAGTTCAGTTCCAATTCTATCACGGACACTATCACTAAACGTTTCGGACTCACTCCAACCGTCATCTCCACGCCATACCGCTACACCGACGGAAATCGAAAAGTCTCCGCTCTACTCAAACCTCCCGGCATCCGCGACTACCAACGGAAGTTAGGCTCCTACTCAGCTAGCCAACTCGCTACCTACCTCAAGAAGCCCGAAGCAGAACACATGCTCGAACTCGACCGAGCACTTCACTACCTCGTCAGCACTCCGACGATCGGACTAACTTACCACAAGACCGGAACTACGATACCTAAGCTAATCGGTTACGTCGACGCAGATCACGCTGGAGACTCTGACAACAGACGATCTCGAACAGGCTATGTCTACAGACTCGAACCTATCGGGCCTATCTCATGGGAGTCGAACAAGCAAGAGCTAATCGCTCTCTCCTCAGCAGAAGCATAATATATCGCGCTCTGCTCAGCCACCAAGGAAGGGCTATATCTTCGCGAATTACTGAAAGAAGAAAAATTGGCCCAGTTACCCAGCTTCTCTCTCTTCTGCGACAACCAATCGGCCATTCGCATAGCGAACAAAAACGGGTTCGCGAATCGAACGAAGCACATCGCCCTTCAGTACTTCTTCGTAAAAGACGAAATCGAGAAGGGTAGACTCGAGCTATCCTATTGTCCCACATCCGAGATGGCTGCTGACTACTTGACCAAGAAACTCGGAAAACAGAAGTTCGAGTACAGCATGCTGCTGACTGGACAAGGACACGTCATCAGCAGCGATACTCCAGAAGCGAAGCGATGCACCCGCAGCAGGGGGAGGTAGGAGAAGGGTGGGGGGCCTGGTGCTGCAGATCCCCTCCTGCCTCCCCCTGAACCTCCAAGCTCCCCCCCCTCTCCCAACACAAGGTGCTGCTGCTGCTGAGGCACATCCGCCACCCCCTCACACCCTCTCCCCGCCATCCCCATGGAGGGGGGGGAGGGGGGGAAGGGGGGCGGGGGCGGAGCTGCGCGTGCGACTGTAGGGCACGCGGGCAGGAGGAACCCCCTCTTGCCACCCCCTCACCCACCACGTTGCAACAGGGCACCGGGGCCGCGGTTAGGGGCGGCAGGTCGCAAGGGGCGATGGCGAGGGGCGACGAGGCCATGGCTAGGGACGGGGCCGGGCGCTGGGCAGGTACGGGGCCGGGTGCTGGGCTAGGGACAGGGCCGGGTGCTGGGCAGGTACGGGGCCGGGCGTTGGGCAGGTACGGGGCCGGGTGCTGGGCGGGTACGGGGCCGGGCACTGGGCAGGAACGGGGCCGGGCGCTGGGCAAGTACGGGGCCGGGCGCTGGGTGGTACGGGGCCGGGCGCTGGGCAGGAACGCGGCCGGGCGCTGGGCAGGAACGGGGCCGGGCGCTGGGCAAGTACGGGACCGAGCGCTGGGTGGTACGGGGCCGGGCGCTGGGCAGGTACGGGGCCGGGCGCTGGGCAGGTACGGGGCCGGGCGCTGGGCAGGTACAGGGCCGGGCGCTGGGCAGGTACGGGGCCAGGCGCTGGGCAGGTTCAGGGCCGGGCGCTGGGCAGGTACGGGGCCGGGCGCTGGGCAGGTACGGGGCCGGGCGCTGGGCAGGTACGGGGCCGGGCGCTGGGCAGGTACGGGGCCGCGCGCTGGGCAGGTACGGGGCTGGGCGCTGGGCGCGAAACGGGGCCGGGCGCGGGCTAGGTACTGGGCCGGGCGCGGGCTAGGTACGGGGCCGGGTGCGGGGCTAGGTACGGGGCCGGGGCGCGGGCTAAGTACGGGGCCGGGCGTTGGCGTGATACGGGCCGGGCGTTGGGCAGGTACGGGGCCGGGCGCTGGGCAGGTACGGGGCCGGGCACTGGGCAGGAACGGGGCCGGGCGCTGGGCAGGTACGGGGCCGGGCGCTGGGCAGGTACGGGGCCGGGCGCTGGGCAGGTACGTGGCCGGGCGCTGGGCAGGTACGGGGCCGGGCGCTGGGCAGGTTCGGGGCCGGGCGCTGGGCAGGTACGGGGCCGGGCGCTGGGCAGGTACGGGGCCGGGCGCTGGGCAGGTACGGGGCCGCGCGCTGGACAGGTACGGGGCCGGGCGCTGGGCGCGAAACGGAGCCAGGCTCGGGCTAGGTACTGGGCCGGGCGCGGGCTAGGTACGGGGCCGGGCGCGGGGCTAGGTACGGGGCCGGGGCGCGGGCTAAGTACGGGGCCGGGCGCGGGCGTGATACGGGCCGGGCGTTGGGCAGGTACGGGGCCGGGCGCTGGGCAGGTACGGGGCCGGGCACTGGGCAGGAACGGGGCCGGGCGCTGGGCAGGTACGGGGCCGGGCGCTGGGCAGGTACGGGGCCGGGCGCTGGGCAGGTACGTGGCCGGGCGCTGGGCAGGTACGGGGCCGGGCGCTGGGCAGGTACGGGGCCGGGCGCTGGGCAGGTACGGGGCCGGGCTCTGGGCAGGTACGGGGCCGGGGGCTGGGCAGGTACGGGGCCGGGCGCTGGGCAGGTACGGGGCCGCGCGCTAGGCAGGTACGAGGCCGGGCGCTGGGCGCGAAACGGGGCCGGGCGCGGGCTAGGTACTGGGCCGGGCGCGGGCTAGGTATGGGGCCGGGCGCGGGGCTAGGTACGGGGCCGGGGCGCGGGCTAAGTACGGGGCCGGGCGCGGGCGTGATACGGGCCGGGCGCGGGCTAGGTACGGGGCCAGGCGCTGGCGACAGACGGGGCCGGGCGCGGGCTAGGTACGGGCCGGGCGCGGGGCTAGGAACGGGCCGGTCACGGGCGAGGTACGGGGCCGGGCGCTGGCGAGGGACTGGGCCGTTCGCGGGGCTAGGTATGGGCCGGGCGCGGGCGAGAGACGGGGCCGGGCGCGGGCTAGGTACGGGCCTGTCGCGGGCTAGGTACGAGCCGGGCGTGGGGCTAGGAACGGTCCGATCGCGGGCTAGGTACGGGCCGGGCGCGGGCGTGGTTACCATTATGGTAACCTTTGCCTATTTTTACTGTAGGTGCTTGTGTAGTTGCTAGCTCAAGTGTGACTACTGCAGACGCGTTTATTTCCTTCATGCTTGACTCTGGTGCGTCCCAGTGCTTCTTCTGTGACCACACATTGTCACGCCACTTCCTGCACCAGCCGCAGCTGCTTTGGCTGATCCCACTTCTAGACCAATCGACGCTCGCAGTTCTGCCACGCTCCCGTTTCCGGGCATCCCCTCTGGTTCCCTCAAATGCCTCCACATCCCTTCATTTTATAGGAACTTGTGGGTGGTGGACACCTTCAGGACCGGGGGGGAACAATCACTTCTCCTGCACACGAGAGGTTTGCGACCTATACGCTTTCCCGAGAGCCTTTGCCAGGTCTCTTCACGTTGCACACAGCGTCCCCCCAAGTAGCTGCGCCGTCGATCACCCATCCACCCGTCGCTCCTGTGGCACCACCGTCTAGGTCACCCATCACTTCTATGTCTCTGTCAAATGACTTGGCACGAGCTTGTTCCAGGTCTCCCGTCCTTGCATCCTCCGCTCCCTCTTTCGCCCACTCCGTCATCCACTCCTCTCGTCAATGGATGGCAGCGCGCTGCCCCTCACTCCTACTCCCTTGCGCCAGCCACTTCGTTTCTTCAAAACTTGCACGTGGACATCTCGAGCCCTGCCCAGGTTGCTGGGCCTCAGCAGGAGTGTTACTTCTTTGTTGTTGTGGATGACTTCTCGTGGTACACTACGATATTCCCCCTGTATTGGAAAGCCGACATGCCTAATTCTCTGATCCCGTGGTTGCTGGCCACTAGCGCCCAGCGTGCCCTCCCTGTGCTTCATCTACACTCTGACCGTGATGGTGCGTTTTGCTCCGGCGTACTTGCCGGGTTCTGTCACGAGCAGGGCATCACCCAGTCCTACACGCTCCCGGACTCGCCACAACAGAATGGGGTTGCGGAGTGCTGCATAGGCTTGGTCATGGAGAATGCATGTACCTCTATGGTCCATGCCGGTACGCCCAAAATTCAATGGCCCTTTGCGGTTTGCTACGTCACACATCAGCTAAACCTCTGGCCACATGTCTCGTGCCCAGAGGTTTTACTGACCCGTCTCTAGACTCCGTCTCCTGGTGTCGCACCCGCGTTTTATATCTGGGCTGCCTTGCTCATGTCCGATCCTCGCGCGGACAAGGTCTCGGCTTGCACCCTCCGCTGTCTCTTCCTTGGTTTCCTAGTTGACGCCCCTGGCTGTATGTCTTACCGCCCTTCCACCCGTCGGTTCTTCGACTCCCGCGACGTCACTTTTGACAAGTCAGTGTCCTTCGATGCACGTTGTCGTTGTTGGTGCTGGTGCTGGAGGTGCTGGTGCTGCGACATGAGGTGTTAGCTCTGGGTTGCTGGTTCTGGGGTTGCTGTTGTGGAAGATTATGGAGCTAGAGGTGCTAGCACTGAAGCTACTGCTTCCAATGGTGCTACCACTGGAGCACCTGACCTGGGGGTCCCCCATCATTCGGCGAGGCTTCAGCTCCCATGACAGCAGCAGCAACAACCGCGGTCGACGCCACCTGTGGGTGGCCTCTGTCTACTTGGCTTGCCTCCTTCGCCACACCACTCGCCGCCTTTGCCTATTTACAGTCCTACATTTCCTTCCCCAGATGCGCCTCCGGCTCGTTCTCCTCCTCGGTCACAGCTGTGTCCTCCTCTCCTTCCATCTCCATCTCCAGGCTCCACTCCTTATTTCTGTCGTCCACTGAGTGCTCGTTCTACGTCTCCTCTCTCGGACCTCCTCTCTCTACTTCTTTGTTCTCTTGTTACCTCGTGCATCGTCTCTAACTGTTTCTTCACAACATCTTTCTATCTACTTCCGTACTGCTCGCCCCGTCGTCTCTCGTGTTCTCTCCTCTCTCGTCATTGACCCTACTGCCTCTCCTTCGCTTGTTTTGGCATATGTCGCTGCTGTCACTGACGTTGCCTCCACCTGCCGCATCGACTAGGCCACCCAGTTTGTGTCTCCTAAATTCCGTCCTCTGTCCGCCAGAGGTGAGTTTGCCCTTGGCTGTGACGTCCTAGAGGACAGGCAATTTCAGCTGAAGTTCCTTGTGGCCACTGCTTCTCACCGCTATGCCATGCTACTAGCCCTTGAGGGAGACCCCGACGCACTTGACATCCCGACTTCTCGCACTTACGCAGAGCCTATCCCAGGACCCTAGGCCTATTAGTGGATAGCAGACATGGACTGAGAGGTGCATCTTGGAGGTCCACATGCACTTACGTTGATGTAGTTCCTCCTCTTGGGGCGAACGTGGTCGATGGCATGTGGATCTTCAAGGTCAAGCGATTACCCGCATCTCCGCATGTTTTCAAGTCACGCTATGTGGCGAGAGGCTTCAGTCCACGTGAGGGTGTAGACTTATTCTAGATGGTGTCCCCCACCCCGAAGTTGAGTACTCTTCGGGTTTTGCTGCAAGTCGTTGCACAACGTGACCATAAGTTGCACTTTCTTCACTCAAGTCAGCATGAGCAGATCTGGCTGCACCATCCTCCTGACTTCACTGGTCTTTTCCAACCTGGGGCCCAGTGGAGCCTGAGACAACCAGTCTAGAGTCTGTGCCAGTCACATTGTGAGCTGCACGTGCGGAGATTCACTCTACAACAGTAGTGAGCTAGACTACGGGGTTGGCACAAACTACTATTAGTGATCGTAGCTTTGCCTAGTTCCTTAGTGCTTGCACAATCACGGGAGAAATTGGCAAGAGTTTCCACTAGCAAAGTTGGAATTACATAATTGTTCAACAAGCAATGACAACAATGACTACATTAGGCACCTAGCAACTCTGCAGCTAGCCTGGTCGACAGACAGCACAGCATGGTCGACCGCCTGCCAGCGTTGCGTAGAGGAGCCGCGCCAGCACTGCAGAAAGGTGACCTGCCAACACAGCAGGTTGACGGTGTGCCAACGCTGCAACAAAGCGGCTGCCTAGCGTTGCCCCGTAGAAGACAGCAGTGCGCACGCTCGCAGATGCGCGCAGATGATTGGCCCGACTTGCACCGTTGTGCATTCGTCGGCTGTTGTCTGCGCCTGACGAGCCACATCGACTTCGAGATACCATCCCGAAGTCGCCTTCGCCATCGCGACCTCGACGACGTTTGCGTGCCTCCGCAGAACTCGCCGAGCAGGTTACCCGGTCGACCTGGACAACCCCAAGTGCCTCTGGTCGACCACTGGGTCCCTCTGGTCGATCACCAGGTGTCCCTGGTCGACCACAGCTCCCGTCAAGCTACCCCCTGGTCGACGGACCCCTTCCGTCGACCAGAACTGTCAGCTGTTGTCGACGAGCTCCCCTTGTCGACCGCTGCTCACTTGTCAGGTCGAACTGCCCCTCCTGGTCGACGGCCCACCCGTCGCCCAGACCAGTCAGATGCAGCTGTCGAGCTCCCTGGTCGACAGCAACATCACAGCGGTCCCCTGTAGCTCGACGAAGCCTGTCGATCAGCTCTCCACTGTGGACGATCCGCTGCTACTCCCGTACATCCGACCAAGTCGTCGGCGTTGCCCAAGCGAGGGCGGGGCCAACACTTCACTCCCGTTAACACTCCCCTGCCGTGCTCACGCTTGGGCCCCCAACCCACACGGCAGCACACTACGGAGAAAATTCGTCCTCAGCGTGCACCCCACACACAGCACGCCGACACCGCACCAGTCGTGCAGAAGGGCACGGCTCCTACTACTGCACATCATCGTCGCCGTCGTCGATGTCGGCCAGGCGAACTTGGCTGATGGCGACAGAGCACCGGTTGAAAGCCGGAAAATGCAGCGCCTTCGTCAGGAAGTCTGCCGGCTGCTCGGTAGTCGGGATGTACTTCAGTACGAACTTCCCGCGCCTCACCATGTGCTGCAGCCAGGCATAGCGTCACTCCATGTGCTTGAGGTTGCCCGTCAGCCCCAAGCCCGCAGCGACTGTAATTGCCGACTTGTTGTCGACGCGCAGGATGGTTGGCTTCCCAGCGTCGAGCAGCTTGAATTCCGCAAGAAGGAAACGAAGTCGGCATCCCTCCTTGCCTGCATTCGTGGCCGCAACGTACTTCGACTCTGTTGACGACAATGTCGTGCACTTGATGCGCGAGCTCGACCAGGAGACAGCGGCCCCTCTGTAGACGAACACGTAACCGCTCGTGCTCGTCCGCTTCTGCTTGTCGCCCGCGTCGTCGGTGTCCACGTAGCCGATCAGCTCCAGCAACTCTGGTCCACCGCCGAATTCCAAGGTGGTGTCGCGGGTGTCAGCAAGGTAGGCGAGGCAGCGGTCGACCTCGCGCCAATGCTGGTCGCTCCTCACCGTGAGGCCGCTCCCTAGCTTGCTGCAGGCGAACGCGATGTCCGGCCTCGTTGTCGTCGCCGTGAACTGCAGTGAGCCAACCTTCTGCCGGTACTCCTCCTCCTCGCGCTCCTGCGCCTCCTCGTCGTCGAATGTCAGCTCGGCGTAGGCATCGACCGAGACCGGCGTCTTCGGGACTCGACCGCCGTGCTCCTCGTCGATGAAGCGCCTGCGCAGCTTGTC